TTTCCCTTTCCTCGAGAATTTCGCGGTGTTTTAACGTCATATATGCTGTTTTTGCTCAGTTCACGTGACTCTCCCGCATGTGACGTATATATAGACCGGATGTTCCGTGCACTGTTGCTCTTTTTGGTACATGGAAACATACCCCAGGAAAACGCTAGGCCACGCACATAAATGGCGTTCCCAACACGCTCTAACATTTCTAAGCATCACATCTGACTTCGTTTTTAACCACCTAATGATAAACACGAAGTGGCGCCACTAAAAAAATGAACTGGAAAGCAAAACTGAGAGAGAGAAGTAGTATCTGGGGTTTTCAGTCCCAAAACCACGATATGATTATGAGGGACGAAGTAGTCGAGGGCCCCAGAAATTTCGGCCATCTCTAACGTGCACAGACGTCGCACACTGGCCTCTACCATATCGCCTCTACCAAAATACGACCACTGCAGCCGGCATCTAATCCCTGACCTTCGGGGGAGTGTCCTAGCACCGTAAGTACTACAAACCCCGCGTCTTACTGAAAAAAAAATTGCTGCTAAAACTCTATTGCAGTTGTCGAACTACGCGGCAGCATTGTGCCACTTACTCATAATCTCCATTATCTTTCATGCCAATGGTGCTCTGAAGGTTCGGGGATCGAGTCCTTACATACTACAGAGGTCGTGGGTTCAATGCCCTACACTCTCAGAAAGTCGGGGGTTTGAGCCCGGACACACTCAATAAGTAGTGGGTTCGAGCCTACGCACTATATATGTGCTTCCCATGTATTCCCTGTGGGGCCCTATGGATCTCATTCGGAAAAGCGATCCTTTATAGATAGACAGATGCCCCGCTGCGGTGGTCTAGTGGCTAAGGTACTCGGCTGCTGACCCGCAGGTCACGGGATCGGATCCTGGCTGCAGCGGCTGCATTTTCTATGGAGGCGGAAACTATGTAGGCCCGTGTACTCAGATTTGGGTGCACGTTAAAGAACCCCAGGTGGTCGAAATTTCCGGAGTCCCCCACTACGGCGTCTCTCATAATCATATGGTGGTTTTGGGACGTTAAACTCCACATATCGATCAATCAAAATGCAGTAGGCCCATGTGCTCAGATTTCGGCGCACGTTAAAGAACCCCAGGATGTCGAAATTTCCGGAGCCCTTCACTACAGCGTCTCTCACAATCATATGTTGGTTTTGGGACATTAAACCCCAACAATTACTAATTATCAATCAATAATTTACTTAACGTGTCCAGGAATAACTATAGGTTCTTTGAGTAGGCGCACGCAAAATTAAAACAATAAAAAATAAACACGAAAATGCAGACAGTCTTTATATAAATAAATCAATAAAAAGACACGACTAGAATAATAGAAAGGGAATGAAAAATAATGGGAATATACATAACTATGCGGAAGGCTTCCTAAAAACAGAAAATGGAAGAATTTATACATTTTGAAGAAGTATATTAAGGCAGTGCAAAGCTCAGATAAAAATAATGGTTGCGGACTATGTACAACATCAAGATCAAGAAAGTTAATGTTATAAAGACTTCAAATTTGTGAATGGTAGCATGTTGGAATAACTTCGCCAGTACATAATGCAGTCGATTCTCTCTGGTTACCTTCCGCGAAACTCGAAAATTAATACAACTGTGAAGTAAAGGGCAGGGTATCATATGGCGAGCTAGCTTGTAAAGAAATAGGAGGTCAGGGTGATATCGTCGATAGTAAAGTTATGGCGGTGACAAGTCTAGCAGTGTTAGAACAAGATGCAGGGTCATTTCTAGCGAAACGATGGTTGTAAATGCTGATGAATTTTTTCTGGACTCGATCAATGGTTTTACTGCTGGATGTAGCAATACCACAACAGGTCACAGATGCGTACTGAAATTTCGGGAGACATATTGCGGTGTACAATATCTGGAAGACTGAAGGAGAACTGCATTCTCGACAGATTGTGCAAATACAGCCGAAAGAACGAAGACTTTGCATGGAGGCAAGTTTAGTGTGAGCAGAAAAATTTATCATGCTATCAAAAAACTACACCAAGATCACTGACATCATAAACTTTACATAATGACACATGATTTACAGAGTATAAAAATGACATGATGGATGTTTTACGAGATATACTCATGAATGTGGTCTTTGAGATATTCAGGGAAACTTATTATTGTTACGTCATTCGGAGAAAGAACACAAATCTGGCTGCAGCAAGTGACAGTCGTTAACTGAGTGAATTTCTTTTGTATCTTGAAGTCATCGTCATGCAAGAGTAAAGAAGAATATTCAGTTGCAAAAGAAACATCATAAACGGAAACTTAAAATAAAGTGGGCCTAATACCGACCCTTCAAAACCCCACTTGTCACATTGTACAAGGAAGACATTTGGCCATTTGCAGCAACATGATTTAATAAGCAGATAGCTATGCAGCAGATGCACAACAGACGAGTCGGCCTCAAAGTGTGCAAGTTTAACCAGAATCGGTGAGTGGCTGACTACATCAAAAGCCTTGCTCAGGTCACAGTAGACTGCCTCAACCTGTGCTTTCTGAGAAATAGGAGATTGGGGGAGATTTGTGTCATAAAACTAACAAGCCTTGTGTTAGTTGAGCGGCCAGGAAGAAACCCGTGTCGATAAGGAATCAATGAGTTTTTCACGATAAAATATCATATGTTGTGGGGAGCCAGCTCAAATACCTTCGATGTGGCACACAGCAGAGAAATCTGGTGATAATTACAAACAGCAATTTAGGCGCCCGACCTAAATACTGAAAAAATACGCCCAGTTTTTCACATGCTCGCAAATATGGAATTCTTTAGGCAGTTAATAAATATTGTAGTCAGTACTGGGGCAAATACACTACCGTAAGCCTTTAGTATGGTGGAAAGGATGCCATCTGGGCTAAGAGCAGATGAGCTTTTCACCCAGCGACAAACCGCTAGATGTGCTAACTGCCTTGGGGGGTTGTCCAATTTCAGTGCTTGAATATGAAGCCCTATAAAGCGATGAAAAATGCGTGGCAGAACAGTGAGTGACAGCATGCACTTCAAGACCGTCTCAGTCCAGTAGCCTGAAGGATTCTCGACCCTTTTGCTAGACCATTTGCGTACATACTTCCAAACCTCAACCAGCCTGTCAGAAGCGTTTTTTTTTTCCTAATTGAGTATATGAAGTGTGGTCCCGTTTCTATAGGCATTTAGAGAGAGTTTGAAAAAACCTGAACTGTTCCTTCCTTTCGCTGAATGGAGAACACATAGCCTTCTTTATGCTTCAGTGCACTCATAAGTTCAGGGGAGCACTAGTGGGAATATTTACTTTGTCTAGGTGTGTCTTGCGGAATAAAACTGCGCATGCCGCTTAGTACAAGTTCCGCAAAATGCTCAAATCGGTCATCAACATTTGGTTTGTCGGTGACCTGTGACCAATCATCGGCAGACAAGGAGTGATAAAAGACAAGGAGTGTCTTTAAAGCAAATTTTGGAGATTGGTTAAAGTGACTGCTGTAGCTAGTTGTTCTGGCACATACAGATATTCTTACGCTAAATGGTTGGTGGAATTGTCAGCACGAACAAGAGAGATGTTTGAGCATAAGACTTCAATGGATTTATCGTTTGACAGACAGAGTCTGTGACATTGTGTCTGCAATGAATGACTGTGTTATGTTGCAGTAGGGAATTAAACGCCAGAAAATCTAAGAGCAGGCTGCACTTTTTCTCCATGAAATGATTTTAATGTGAAAGGGTAAGCTATAATACAATAATAATAATAATAATAATAATAATAATAATAATAATAATAATAATAATAATAATAATAATTACAACACAGTCACCTTCTCTCCGCATGCTTCATGACATCGATTCCCAAGGTACGTGAGATCAGCCGACTTTTCGTTAAAAGGTGCCATAAACAGATTTGTTGCTGTAATACCTCGACTTGGGCCAATTGGCTAGAAATGCAGCGTGACTTAGGCAAAGAAATCAGGCACGGGTGAGTACTGCCAGTGTCTACACGGGTCACTTGTCGTCTAAGGCGCGCTGCATTTCTCCGATCATGGTTCTGTAGCTTCCAGTTTTTAATGATGATTATTTGTGAGGTCGAGCGAGAGACATTTTAGTATCCTTTTCCGGGAAATTGGAAAAGATTCATTGAGCCTGACACGTAAGAAGTTTCTCATCTCTAGTAGAATTAGCATTGTTCTGCATAACATTAAATTTAATTTTCACGTATTGTTTTCAAAATTGTATTGTAAAGTTTCGTTTTAGCTTGAAGATCGTCTCAAGTGCCACACATTAGAAACATTCATCAGATTATTGGATGCTGTATTACTGAGTGATGAAATCAGACAAAATTGACGTTTTATATGAGTTATTGAAGCTCATTACGCGTCTCCCTGAACACACGATAGAAATGAAATTAGAAAAAGTGTACCCAAGATTATTTTTGCCCTAATTAAATGTCTTCAAATTACAGGGCGCGTAACCGCTACAAGTGCGTGATCTATACATATTTATTGTTTGCTAATGTGAAAATCAACAGCGCTGATGAAGCCGTAGTTTAGGCTATATCATTTCCTTTGCTTCTTGCCAGCTCTCGAAGAAATTGGTTTTTAACCGGCTTTTTCGAAGCGACGCGAAGTCCCGTTAGTTTCTCAGTACGAATGAAATATTTGGAAGATATAATATTCGCGTTTCACTTGCTTCCCCTGATATGCGTGTCACAGATGAAATATGACAAACTTCCTCGGCGTTCTTCGTCATCAACGGTGATTGGTACTTACGCCCAACTTTTGGTAGAAGCGCCACTGGGCTATGTCGGTTACGCCAGACAACCGAGGTGTCCGGCACTGCTGCCGGAGCAGCCACAGGTGAGATGCGTCTCTCCTCCGAAGGAGCAGCGGCGAAGCTAGCGGGAGGCCAGTTGCCGAGATCATCCGCGGGGCGTCGCCTGTGTCGCTTATTTGAGCCCCTCGCATCGCGGCATCGGCGCAAAGACCGCGCTGACTGCGAGGCAGCCCCCCATCGGGTCCGGCAGCGTTCACGTGGCTCTCCGCCAGCGAGCGGCCGTGTGCTCCCCCCTTCTCCTGTGTGTGCGCATGGACTGCGCCCCGGCCGAGCGCCACTCCGTGCGAGACCATGCGGCCGGCGCATCTGCTCACCCTACTGCTGGCAACCACACCTGCACTCGTCGCCGGATTTTCCAATCCGAATCTCAAAGGTGAGCCCTCCCTGGGATAGAAATAACATTTGGGCTCCCTGCCACAGGCCCGGCTTCACCCTGAGCCGGCGCTAACCGCCAGCTGATACGCCCGCGTCGCGCGCGCGTCGTCTGCTACAGGACGACGACACAACCGAAACTGCGAATATTCAGACATTACTTGCCGTAACGCGGAGAGGCCACTTACCCCACGCGTTGCGGCCGAGCGTGAATATCTGCGTAGCCAGTCGACTTCGCTTGCCCAATCCACACCGGCGATTTCTTCTTTCTCGTTTACCTCGCGCTGTCCGGCGGCGATCAGAGCAGTAGCGGCGATTCGCGTGCCGCCGCGCTCCTTGTGCGTGAGCGTGGTCCGCTTGTCAACAAACGGCGGGCGTCCGTAGATGCACGCGGAGATGCTTTCACCGCTCATCGCCATATCCCGCTGTCCTGTTGATGTTTTGAGTGGACGGCGGTCTTCTCGCCACGCCCGCGACCTCACTGGCTACTTCCCTGTTTGATTTGTCGAGCGAATACGGTGGGGACAAGCATGCGCCAGTATCCGAATAATACTCGAACGAACACTTGCTGTAGCCACGCGATGTTCTAAGCACTGCAGGGCCGTCTTTTCTCTGCCGCGGGCCTCGGACCGACAACCCAGGAACGCAAGTTAACTAGCCTCATCAATAATAAACAAAATTAATATATCTTGTCTGAATCGGTGATTGACCAGTCCACTGCAATATAACGTACGTGGTGCCGCTTTGTTGATGCGCCGGTGCTTTGAGCGTGAAATAATAATTATAATTTCTCTAGGTAAGCTGTAACTAACCTTTGACATCATGTTGAAATGAAATAGCATCAAAAGAAATGGCATATTTCCGCTGGCTGCGTGCGCCAAGAGCGTATACTGCCGTCCGAGCTATATAATTTAATTAGAGCTTCATTTGTTGATTGGAATACCATCGTGCGTTATAATTTGCGTCACAGTTAGCAAAACTGAGCGGAAGTGGCTTGAAATGGAACTGGTACGCTTAATGAGCCTGATACTCGTTATGTCGGTCGTAACCATTCGTAAATGCAGAAGTGTTTTTCTTGCGTGCATTTTGTTTTATTGTACACTTTGGCACTTTTTGTCCCCAAATCATGCCCCAAATGTTAGTGTAGTCGCTGAAGTCGCGCGGCACCTTGAAATGCGCTCGGTAAAAAATTGCAGTGTATTCTGCAATTTTTTATCTGAAATGCTCGCTAGAAATATGCATGGACATGTACATACTTCGCTATAAACCAGTACAACTTGCAGCGCCTACACAGTTACGGTGGTGGTAGAAAGTAGAAATGCATCATGTTTCAACATCATCATGTTTCCGTGCGACTGCTCTGTATCGTAAAGTGGCGAAAAGTACGATATTTGTAAGCGCCGCTGCTTCCTCTAATACAGCGGCTGTTTCTTTTATCTTGATATGACTTATCCTTGGAACATTGCCTGCTGATGGGAGTGGCTGACTGCCTCATTCGCAGAGAGTTATATATGTTCCATATACGGCGGTGCATTAAAGCGCTTTCTGTGCCGAATCTCATGGAATACGAGCTGGACCCCCCTCCAGTGTATTTTTTTTTCCTTTCCCAATCACTCCCGGGGCACACCTAAACAGCAGTCGTCTAGCAAAAAAAAAAAAACTTCAAGTTGCACTTAGAGCGTTGACAGCCCAAGTTTACGACTGCCAGATAAGAGAGGAATTGGGGGCATGCACTAATGTATCAGAAAAAAATTAAGAAAAAAATTGTCGGTGGGTTTGTCTCGCACACCAATTGTTTTGACGCAGTGCGCAAGACCTTTCCAGGATGAAGCCATGCAACTTAGTCATGAAAATTCACAAGATCTCTTTGCAGCTGGACGTTCAACTTTGCTGATATTACGTACACTCTCGTAGTTAGATCGTTGAGGACGCTGGTTCGATTCCAGGCCACACAATAACGCCCATGTACTTGAATTGTGATGCACCTTAAAGCACTCCAGGTGGGCTAACTTAAACTAGAGTCCTCCTAATACGTGCCTGATAATGATCACGCAATTTGAGCTCGTAAAACGACATGATTTTTTGACCCGTTAGTGCACGTCTCGCCTATCAAAAGGCACGCAACACGTGCGTCCACTCAAACGTTATTCTTGATCATTTAAACAGTTACGCATATTTGTTTTATGTACTCTCTTTGAAAAAATAGAGCTCTATTCAGAAGTGAAGGTTCCCTTTGCTTTTTTTTTTTTTTCTTGGATCATGCATCTATGTCAGTGGCGTAGCCAGGGGAGTGGCAAACCGGCCCCATACCCCACCCCGAATTCGTTTTTCGCCATAGCGTATACAGAGCAAAAAGTTACCATTTCGAAAAGGTGAACCCCCACCCCCGGAAAAACTTGCTGCCTACGTCTCTTACCTATTTTAACTGCTGCGAAGGAGGGAGACAATTGCCTAGAACTGAATTCACAATTTTTTTTGTAACTAATATTCGCCACTAAACATGTATCATTGGTAACGATTGGTTGAAATACTTTCTCTTAGGAACAATTCAAATGTGCGACGTTTTGGGGAATACGAGCTCCGCATAATATTTACTTTGTATGAGTATTTCAGCATTGGCTGGTCACCAGCACAAATGACGGTCTGGATATAGTACGAGCCAATGACAAAGAAATCTTCCTAGCATGAAAATTCGTCAAGCCCACCGTACTTGCCGTATTCACGGAGCACTGTTCGAGTGTAGAAATACTTTGATAAGGTGACATACAATCGCAAAATGATTTACAATTAAAAAAAGGCATCTGTAAAAAAGAATTTCCATTGTAAGGACTGCTTCATATTCACAGTTCGCAGTATCTCACATTGTGTTTGTAATCTCAACTGGCTGAAAATTTCGCTTGCGCAACGTTTTAGCGTAAGATCAGCATTGCAACAACGATGACAATGACCAGAGGCTTATGATTCATTCCTGAAGTTTGTCATTAGCCATATTCAATTGTTAATTCTACGTATTCACTGCATGTGCTTTTTTTCGTTGCTTATATACTGCTCGCACGAGCAATTCACGCACGTGTGTGTGTGTGTGTGTGTGTGTGTGTGTGTGTGTGTGTGTGTGTGTGTGTGTGTGTGTGTGTGTGTGTGTGTGTGTGTGTGTGTTTGCGCACGCATGCGCGGAGAAATCGCAAGATGTAACCGAATACATAGGACTGCATGACTTTGATCATTTTATCTTTGGTGGGATCCCCTTCATTAATAATGTTCATTTTTGTCTAACGAAATACGAACATCTGTTAACCAAGCACCACATTCTGAAAGCCACTCTTTCGTGAATTGTGCCCATTGACGGGCAGGTCTCAGCGATAATGTGGCTAGCGTCGAGATTGGCTGAAATGTTCTCTTACGAACAATTCTGTCGTAAAATTAATATTCTTCTTTTCTGTGAATTCAGTATCGGGGAATATTTATTCGCGTCTTCAACCCACCAGAGTGGGCGCAGTGCTCGATTGCTGACCCTATAACGTAAAGACATCGAATGCTGGCATTTTGGTGGAGGCGAGATAGTAGAGTTTCGTGCACTGTGAAGAGCCTCAGCTGGTCGGTATTTACGGAACCCTCCACTACGCCATCTCTCATACCATATCGTGGTGTTGGGACGTAAAAACCTAATGATTGAGTTTATTAGTAAACATCTTGCGCTAAATAAGCTTCGTAAGGGAGGTAACGAGTAATTACCAGTGAAAAGGAACAGTTAACGCACTATCATAAAAAGCGCGATGTTAGTATTGTTAAATAATTCTCACATTAGGGAGGAAGTTTGTAACTTTGTCCATAAAATTGAGAGGCATTCATAGATGTATTTAATTACTTAAGAACTTTTCGTCATGCGCGGTCTTTCTAATTGACGTGTCCTCTGCAAAGATAAGCAGACCCCTGCTTAATTGTGCATATATGGCCAACTGAGGCTTGAACTAACTTTCTTGTGAATGTGGGATTGTGGGCGAAATTGGCCGAATTCTTTAGGGTTTTTTTATTTGTTTGGTTTTTGCTTACTATAGTCGACTGTCTTCGCTAATAAATTATCGTCGCCATGACATTTGACAGGCGCAACCTCTTGCCAAGTGCGTTTCGTGCATGCACTGCATCATGAATACTGAACCAACTGCCAAATCAATAAAGCGCCTTGATTGTAATTACATACTGCCATTGGTCGGTGGCCTTCGGTAATGTGTGTACGTCACCCCGAAGGGCCGAGTATACGCTAGGCTGATCTAGTCCGTCGGAACTGGCGCCGGTCAATCAAGATAGCGAATTTAGACATGGCGACCGGCCATTAACAAGTGCTTCTACGAGCGAAGAGTTCTCTGGACGCTGACCAATTGGGATAGCGAATACGTTCTTACCAGAAGCGACCAGCCAATGGAAGACTTCTCACAAACGAGTATCTCTTTGTTTTTGGCAACGCCGGCGAAATTCAGTGATAATTTCGTTCTTAGCCGTTCAGGCGTGAGCGAAGTCGCTCGCGTAATTTGCACGCACACTTCACTCTCTGCCCCCGCTCCATTTTCTTCCTTTTCGCAGAACCGTTTGAAAAGTATGTGCACTTTCAGTATAACTCCAATAAAATAATCCCCCCCATTTTTGCAAAACTGATGCACCCTCTGGGCATCTTCCCTTGTTGGTGCGCAGAAATGAACGCAGGCTATTGCACCCCGTCTTTGCGGGGTTCGCGCCTTCTCTCGCGTAGAAGGCGTTACACTTTCGAATTCGGGCTGAGCCGCTGAAGCGCTCGCGAGCAGTGCTCGCGCTCATTTCTGAGCTATTTCGTCACGTCCGAATAAAGCAACGGCGACAACCTGCTGCAGTCGCGTCCGGCGAAGCCCTTTTCGTGTAGAGTGCGCAGAATATAGGTAGGTACCAGTGAAGATGAAGAAAAAAAAAGAAGTAATACTGAACGAAGCACGGAGGAAAGGCCCGGCATCCCTTCTCGGAAACAGCCTGAAA